TTAGGGTATAAATATAAGATTTAGGGTAATAAAATAAAAGTGAGATAATTATACGATTGGATAAAAATAATGATAATTTGGTAATAAATTATAAGAATTAAGAAAAAGAGAATTTCGCATAATCAAAGAAAGATTATCGAATTAGAGAAATTTATGTTATTACGGTAACATTATGTATATTCTCGTAACAGAATCTAAAGTCATATTAAAATGGTAATAATATTTATAAAAATCTTTCAATTTAATTAAAAGATAATTATATTTATTACGTATAAAATTACTTACTGGTTTATTTTACAAATAAAAATTAAAATTTAAAATTACAGATACAAAATACAAATTAGTATTAACAAATATAATAATATTAAAAAAATATAAAATTAAAATAATTAGCAAATTTGGTTATTTTATTAATAGTAATTTATATTATATCATACTTAACAAAAAATTCTCTAATTTATTTCTATATAAATACAAATTTGCTTTTAAAGAACACAATAATAATAATTATTTTACTTTATATATCTTTATATTATATAATAATATTAATATTATCAAATTAAAAATCTTAATCAATCATTTGATAAATTTTCTTAGCTTTATAGTTGATAACAAATTACTAATAGCTAGTTATATTAATAATTTTTAATATAGTTTATTAATAGTTTTTAGTTTAATTTCTTGTACTTCATATTTATATATTAAATTAGATAAATTTATAAATAAGATTATACTAAAACAATAAAAAATAATAATATTAATATTAATATAATTTGTAATTTTTTATAAATAAATAATAATAATTATTTTTTTATATATTTTTATTATATAAATTATATATTATATAATTATATAAATAAAAATATTTTTATTTATAATTAAAATAATTTTTTTAGAAAATTATTTTAATTATAAATAATTATTTCTTTATAAAAAAATTTCAAACTATAATAAATTATTTATTTAATTGAAAATTATAAAATTTAATTAATAAAAACTTAAAATCATATAATTTATAATTTAATATTTCAAAAAAATAAAAATAATAACAAAAATATATTACAAATAATTATTTAATAATTTTAATAAAAAAGATTATAAAATAACAACAATTAATAATTAGTCATAAAATTAACAAAATTTAATAAAAATATTTGAAATTAAAATTTATAATCAACTTTATTAATTTATAATATTAATAAAATAAATAAAATAATAATAAAAATAACTAAAATTTAAAAGAAAAAATTCAAGAAAAATTTAAATTAATTAAGTTATAAAAAAGCTAATAATCAATTAAAAAAACTTGAAAAAATAATATTTTATATATGAAAATAAATTTTAAAAAATTTTGAATTATAATCTGAATTTAAAAACTATTTAAAGCTTATAATAATAAAATTTAAAAATAAAAAATATTAATTCAGAAAAATATCAAAAAAAATATTTGTTTAAAAAAACTGATTTTTTAAATTTTTCTAATTTTTTTAAATTATTATTCAAAAAATTTCTTGAGTTTTTTTATAAAATACAAGTTTTTTCTATATAAAATTTTTTAAATTTATTAATATTTTCATTTTTATATTAAAATATAAATAATAAATTATATTTATTATATATTTTTAATTATAAAATAAATTAATTAATTATAAAAAATTAACATTTTAATTAGAAAAACTTTCTCGGATTAAATTTAAAAAATTAGAACAAAATATAATTTAAATATAATAACTATATTTTAATAAAATTATAACAAATTTTAGATTTTATAAAAATTATAAAAATTTTAATTATATTAATATATTAAATAATTAATAAATATAATACTTATTTATTATTATATTATAACTTGTTACAATTAATAATATTTTATTTATTATAAATTAAAATATTTAAAAAATTATTTTTAATTTAATAATATCAAGTTTAAAGAATATAAAATAAACTAAAAATATTTTTTATAATTTTTAAATAATATATTTAAAATTTGTATTTAATTATCGAATTTATTGTATAAGAGCAAAAGAATTATATATTTATTATTGTAATAATAAGTTTTAATAATATTACAAGTATTTTTATTAACTTTAATAAATATTATTAATTATTTACTAAATAAAAAAATTGAATTATAATTAAAAAATAACTATATTTATTAAAGAAATATTAATATTTGAATTAAATCAAATTAGAAAAAGAAATTTCTAAAAAAATATATTATAAAAAATAAAGAAAAAATATAGAATAAAATAAAAAAGTAATATTAAAAATAAAAAAATAGATTAAATATCACTTTTTATTTAATAATAAATTTCTTTTTTAATTATATTTAATAATATTTTTTTAATATTAATAATATTAATATATAGTAACTAATAGAATTATTAGATTTATGAAATTATATATGTAATTTTATTAATAAAATATAATAAAAATTGAAATTTTTGTCTTATATAAAAATTTTTAATTTTATTAATAAATATTTTTTATTTATATATTAAAATAAAAATTATAAGTTATAGTTTAATATATATTTTTTTGGATTTTCTAGATTTTTTCTGATAAAGTTATTCTAATTGCAAAGATATTGCAAAATTTTTTATAATTAATTTTATATTTTAATTATATAAAATTTTAGCAATAACTTTGCAATTAAAATAATTTTGTCAGAAAAAAATCTAGAAAATCCAAAAAAATATATATTAAACTACAACTTATAATTTTTATTTGATATAAAATAAAAAAATATTTATTATTAAAATTAAAAATATTTATATAAAACAAAAATTTCAATTTTTATTATATTTTATTAATAAAATCACACATAATTTCATAATTTTGTATTTATTTATATATATATTATTTTAGATATTTTATTTTATATATATTATATTTATATATTTTATTAATATTAGAATAATAGTTAAAAATAATACAACAAAAAAATTTATTAATAAAATATAATAAAAATATTAAAATATAAATTTTTTTCTTTATATAAAAGTTTTTAATTTTACTAATAAATATTTTTTATTTTTGTAATTTTATATCAAATTGAAATTAATATTTTAATATATATTTTTTTCAAATTTTTAGATTTAATTTAACAAAGTTTTTCTAATTATATATAAAGTTAATATTTTTTTATAATAAAAACATATAAAAAAATATTAATATTTAGAATAATTTATTAGATTTAATATAAAAAATCTGAAAAAATATATATTAAAATATATATATAATATTAATATAGAAATAAAAAATATTATATAAAAAATTCATATTTTTTATATTTTTATTATATTTTATTAATAAATTTTATTGCTATTATATTATTTTTAATAGTTACTTTATATTATATAATAAAAATTATTTATTTACTATTTATTTTATATTTATTAATAATAAAAATATATTAAAATATATTTAAATTTAAATTTAAATTTAAATATAAATTACTAATTTTATTTAGAAATAACTAATTAATAAATAAATAAAACAGAAAATATTTTATATTTATTAATAAGATAAATTTATTTGAATTTACAAATTATAAATTTTTTTAAATCTTTTTATAAATAAAAATATTAGAAATTATATTAGAAATTAATTAATATTAATTTCAGAAATAATCTAAAATCTAACAAAAATATTCTGAAATTTGCTGAAATTCTTTAAGAAAAAAACAGGAAATTTTGTAAATAAAGTAAAATTTATTAGACTAACTAGTAAGTTTTCAAAATTTAAAAATTCAAAAAATTATTTGAATACTTTCAAAAAAACAGAATTTTTTATTTTTTTTCTAAACTATTATTTGAAGAATTTTCTGTTTTTTCATTTTTATCTCTAATAAAATAAAATTAAATAATATTTATTTAAATTCAACTATCAATATCAATATTAAAATATTATATTAAAAATTGCCAATATTTTTATTTTTTTTATAATATAGAAAATCTTCAAAGTCACTCTTTTAAGAAGTAATAATTATTGATATTTTAAATTATAATTTGAATAACAACTCTAATTTCAATCAAGATCTGAAGTTGTAATATCTAATGCTTTTGTAATTTCATACCAAAAAGATTACAAAAATAAAATATTAATATATTTTATGTTAAAAAATTACATTAAATAAAAATATTATTGATCAATTTCGTGTTAACAAAATTTTATGCTATTTCTTATATGTATTGTCGAGATTTTGATTAGAGATCAGAATCGATTCAGTTCACCCGGATCAGTGAATATACAAAGGGAGAGAACATTTGGATTCTGTCGACGTCTCCGATATATTGACCACCAGGAATTCAGCCAACCTACAGTCGCTGTAATTTGTAACGTCCATAACATCGAGAGAGCTCAGGAAGATTCATGACGTTCAGGTCTCTTGAGAGTTTTGATCATTCTGTCAAACGTGTGGTACTTTGAAAATCTCCTCTCACAAGACTTGGTGTAAGTGTTTCGAGCGAAACTGGTTTCGCCAATTTGATCTACAAGGTGTCTCCAAATTAGGGTTTCGATTTGTTGCGGACTTAAGCACTACTTGGCACTGCAAAGCTTCCAGGTTGCATAGTCTAACTGATGTGCTTGCATTATTCCACATTGTTGGTGCTCTTCCAGAAGCTTCATGATCGTGCGTTCGCAAAGGTTTACGAGACCAGTGTGTCTGTTAAAAAAATGGACAGCAAATTATAAGTCTTCGCGCAAAATTCAGAATTCATCATGCTTCACATACCCATTCGTTTGTGCGTCTATATCATCGATGATCTGTTCCTCAATTTTCAGGTGGTAAGCTTTTTGTAAAGAGTTTTCATTTGTTGATTTGGATTGCTGAGGCTTCGCAACGTTAAAGGGCGAGAAAGTCCAATCTGACAGGTTCAGGTCCAGGTACCGATTCCGGCGACGGATATTATGGTTTAGACAATATCGATCTTAATGTTACGAAGGCCTGCCAGGCACGAGGTAATTTCGCAATTTTTTCAGAAGATTTTTTTGAGTGCATATTCGATTGATTACGTTTCATTTTCTTCTTGGGAAAAGACGCTTGTGCGCCAATGCACTAGAGAATTTCTTTACCCGTGAAGAAGCTTTTCTCAAGCTTTAGATGCTTGACCTGAGATCTTTGAAATAAACCTTCGGTCTTTTTACTGTTCTCAACAATTCCCGCAGTGAAATTCTTTCTGAAGAGCATAAAAGAATTAAGAGGACGAGGAATCTACTTTTAAGTCTCTTCATTAGAATTTACAGAAGCTATCAATTCATTAGAAATTATAATAGCTATTAATTCTTCATTTGAATATGTGGTCACACCACGGTTGTTGAAAACAAATGTAAAGCCAACAGTGTCCATTTCCGGAGTCATACGCAAAGATGAAACATAACCAGGCAAAGAAGGTTTTATACTCTATACCCTAACCCTTATTCCGAAGTAAGTATGATGTACTTGTCATACCAAATAACCCTTTTCCGACCATACCATACTTCTTTGCATGACCCGACAATGCATCATACTGTAATACCGCCATTTCCGAGCAAATTTTTTTAATATTGGTTTGAATTTTTCTTCCAAATTTTTTGACGTTTCTTTCGATTGTTTTAAATAATCAATCTGGAGTATATATGTGTTTACTTCAAGGGAATCTTCTATTGATAAATTAAGCATCAATTATTCTTGAATAAATAAAATGTGTCTTTAGACATGGTCGCTGTCGTGTAAACGACCAAAGGGGAAAGCCGATTTGATAAACCAACAACTAACTTTCTTATGCAAAAAGCTTTTAACATGGCCGATAACAATAGCAAACAAATACATGTGTCAATTAACATTTTCGAAATAATTACAATACAGCAGATTTGAAACATTGAGTTTAGTGGAAGATGTTTTCGTTGGAGAACAATCTATCGAACTTGTCAAAGAAGAGAACAACGCACCTGTCGGACCAAAGCTCATTATCTTTCGCAAAAAACATCCTTGATATCCTCGAAACTTTCCATAGAGGGCATGAGCGTTTTTTTTGGACCAATACTGGTCGAGAAGTTCCCGTCGGAAAGTTCTACTAAGAGTATTCCAGAAGCATTCTTCATCTTTGAAGGAGATACCCTCGAATTTGCGCTGTCCAGTAGAAATAAAGAAATCGTGTAATCTCAATTAGTATGATCCACAAATTCTTGATCAAGAAGCAAAGTTGCTTACTAGATGCAAACGTAGCCTATGGCATCCAATTGTTTCATGGCTGCCCACACCCGGGTAGATTTGTCGGAGGCTCGCTATCTGTGCACAAATACATATTCACTAGTAAGAATCAACTCAATCAATTCCTTTATTCCGCTCTGTTGGGTCCACGTAGTAGACGCCAGCGCACTCCCATGGCAAGATGGTCCTATTGACCGACCATTTCGGTAACGAGAATATGCTAACTAATCTGACAGAAACATTTGTTAGAAAGACGAATGAAATACCATGCTGCCAAGTAGCTAGATCAACAACGATTTCTACTATGCTCTTCCGTAGCCTCTCTTCTTCGCTCGCGCACTAATGTTAGTGAGGTGCAAGTTAATAAATGAAATAATAACGAGGAAAGCAGTGTAGATTTGATGAGGCTTGAATGCAGTCGTATTACTTACCAGGTAGCTGAACAATGATGTAAATATACTTTTTGGAGGGTTGTCCGTTGATTTCGGCGTGAGATGTGTTTATGATTCTTAAGTTTTTCGGTTTCTTTGTTGAGGAATGTCTACCTTCCAAAGTTTGAGTTTGTCTGCTGCAATTCGTTAAATTCCGGAGTTTTTCTCCTTAATGAATCCGAATATCACTATCAACTGCGTAATCCGCAGTATAATTTACAAATTGTGCTCTTGTCATCGATTGCAATATCATTATGATTTTTTGGGCAGGGGTATAAGTGAGAAATCGAACCTGTATTGTGAATGCCTTGCATGATGCCCTGGAGGCAAAAAATGCATACAGCTATACCTCTCTAAGTGCTCTATCTCTATCACGCCCACCTTAAATGCGCATCATGACCTAGTCCCAAACTTGCCAAGTACCCCCTCTATGTTCTACACGTTCAATGATTTTTCTAACCCCGTTTATATTGATTAGTGCACGTCACGTGATTTATTCTGCACGACCGATTAAAAGTTATCCCGGAATATATTTTTATTTTTATTCACCAACTCAAATGGCATAAATATGAAGTCTAATCGATCGGCACCAACTAAATGCATATTTATACAAGGTGTATATTTGGATCTCTAAAATCCTCTCCATTTTCCGCTGTGGGAAATCCGACCCCTAACGATCGGTACACTACCGATGATCACCATTGGACGGAATCTTATCATTAAATTCCGCAACTTTACATACGAATATAAGGTTACATACGAACATAATGTTACATGCGAATATAATGCTAACGAGAAATCCAAATGCTACCAAATTGCTAGTTTTTCAGGTTAGCAAGATTATTATGTCCATTATCGGGTAATCTATTAGTAAAAAAAAATGAGTGACAAAATTTTTATTGCATAAAACTGATTAAAAATGCAAATGTTACCAAAATTGATAGATATGATTTATTTTTGATTATCAAATTAATTAAAATATAATATATATATATATATTCTGGATTTTAGATTTAATCTGACAAAGTTGTTCTAATTATGAAGCTATTGTAAAATTTTGTATAATTAATTTTATATTTAATTATAAAAATTTTTTATAATAATCTTGCAATTAGAATAATTTTGTCAAATTAAGTCTAAAAAATTCAGAAAAAATATATGTTAAAATTAATTTTTAATTTTTATTTTTATATAAAATTAAAAAACTTTTTATAGTACTAACAAAATTATAAAATTATATATATGATTTTATAAATAAAATATAGTAAAAATTAAAATTTGTCTTATATAAAAGTTTTCAATTTATTAATAAATATTTTTTATTTTTATATTAAAATAAAAATTATAAATTATATTTTAATATATATAATAATTTATAAAAGTAATATATTATTTTCAAAATTTATTAATAAATTATAATTTTTTATATAAAAGTTTTTTTTAGTTTTACTAATTAAAATTTTTTATTTTTATACAAAAATACAAATAATAATTCATATTTTAGTATATAATAACAACCAAAAATAATACAATAATATTAAAATTTATTAATTAAATATAGTAAAGTACAGATTTTTTTCTTTATATAAAATTTTCTAATAAATATTTTTTATTTTACATTAAAATGAAGATAATTTTATATATTTTAATATATATTTTTTCAGATTCTTTAGATTTAATCTAATAAACTATCCTAATTGTATATAAATCAATTATTTTTTTATATTTTAATTATAAAAAAAATAATGCAATTAGAACAGTTTTATTAGATTAAATCTAAAGAATATATATTAAAATATATAATATTATTTTCATTATAATGTAAAATAAAAATATTTATTAAAAAAATTAAAAACTTTTATATAAAAAGAAAATCTATATTTTACTATATTTAATTAATAAATTTTAACGTTATTGCATTATTTTTGATTGTCATTGTATATTTTTTTAGATTTTTTAATTTTTTTAAATTAAATATAAAAAATCTAAAAAAATATATGTTGTTATTATTTTATATACTTTTTAGTTTTGTTATAAAAAGTATATAAATAATATATAAAACTAAGTTAAATAAAAAAATTATACAAAATAACTTCAAATAAAAGAAAAAATATTATATTTAAAAGTAAATAATATATATATATTTAATATTTAACTAAAATAAAACCAGAAATCTTTTTAAGACAAATATATTTTATATTTTTAAATATTATTTATAAATAAATAAAATATTAATTAATTTATTAATATAATTATAAATTTGCAATTAAAATAAGAAATTAAATACAAAAAATATAATTTTGTAATTAAAATAAAAAATTATAAGACAAATATAATAATTTTGCAAAAACAAAATAATAAATATTTGTCTTTTTCTAAAACTAAAATTCATATTATACTTATATATATATAAATTTAAATCAAAATTAAATAAAAATTCAAATTAAAATTTAAATTTTCAAAACTAATTAAAAATATAATTGTTTAATAAAATAATATAAAAATTAATAATATTATATAATATATAAAATATTGAATTATAATAATATTAAATATAAAATATTATTATAAAAAATTTTAATTAGCAAAATTAAAATTCTTATATAAAGTAAAAATATTATAATTTTATTTTGTTTTATTAGTAAATTTTAAAAGTAATATATTATTTTTATAAATTATTATATATAGTAATTAATAAAATTATCTTATATAAAAATTTTAATATTAATAAATATATTTTATTTTTATATTAAATAAAAAATTATAAGTTATAAGTTATATTTTAATATATATTTTTTTGAATTTTTTAAATTTTATCTGACAAAGTTTTTTTAATTAAAATTATTATAAAAATTAATAATAACTTTTTAATTTTGTCAAATAAATTTAAAAAATTAAGAAAAAATATATATTAAAATTTAACTTATAACTTATAATTTTTATTTTAATATAAAAATAAAAAATTTTTATAAAAAAATTAAAAATCTTTATACAAAACAAAAAATTTAAAAATTTCAATTTTTACTATATTTTATTAATAAAATTATATATATAATTCTATAATTTTGTTAGTTACTATATAATTTATAATTTTAATATAAAAATAAAATTATATATATTTTTACAATTTTGTTAATTATTATATAATATAATTTTATTTTAATACTAAATAAAAATATTTATTAATAAGAATAAATATTTGTAATAATTATATTTTAATTAAAATTAGAGTTTAGATTCTAAATATGTTATTAATTATTATTAAAATTATTGTATATAATAATTATTATAATTAAATAAATTATATTAATAAAATTAAAAATTTTTACTATATTTTATTAATAAAATTTTATATTTAATTTTATAATTTTGTTAATTACTATATATTCAAATTTTTTGTATTTAATTCAAAAAAATATTCTAATTGTATAATTTTTTATTAATTAAATATAACTAATTTTTAATATAAAAAGATATTTGAATTTATAATAAAATTTACAAAATATTTTTATTTATGCTATATATAATTTGAAAAAATTTAGAAAATTATATAACTAAATATTTTTATATACAAAAATTTAAATACTTTAAACTTGATTATTTAATATTAATAATAAAATTAAAAAAAATTTTTTTAGAATGTGTTATTTTTTAAAATTTTGGTTATATTAAATATAATATAATTTAAAATAATTTAATTATAAATTACTAATAGTTATCAAGAATAAAAATAAATTTATTTTTTGAAAAATTATATAAAATTATAAAAAAATATTTAATTATATAAAACTTTTAGTATATATTTATATATATTTAAAATACTATTTAAAAATATAGTTAATATATTAAATTAATAGATAATTACTATTAAAT